AAACCAGGTGGCTCCTTGGAGGCAAGGATTCTGAGGCTCCGTCTAACATACTTTGGACATGTTGTAAGGAGGGACTGGTCCTTGGAGAGGGACATCATACCTGGTAGGGTGGAGGCACAGCACAGGAGGGGAAGGCCCTCTATGAGGTGGATTGATTGAGTGACTGGGGTAATCGGGATGGGTGTATTAGAGACAGTGCGATTGGCACAGGACAGAGCAGAGTTTAGGACTGTACATAGGGTCACTGTGAGTTGCAAGCGACTTGACAGCACATAACAACAATAACAACAACAAACTATGATAGAGAAAAACAAATATTATTTGTTAAAGTCACCTGTTTTTAGTATTTCTGTTATATTGTTGTCATTTTATGTCATCGAGCTGACCATGACTTGTAGTGACCCTATGAACGATGATTTAAAGACCTTGTCCTATCTGAAGCCAAACTCACCAACTCTGACCCACCTAACCCCATTGCCACAGTTACTGTTCATGTCATCCAGGGTTTCTCGTGAGAATCTACAGGGAGTTGGACTGCTAACCCTGAGGCCACGCCTCTCTGGCTGTTTGAATTTACCAGTGCCTCCCCTGGAGAAGGATGGGCAGGCAGTCTCCTCCCATGTAATTTACAGCCTAAGAAACACAGTGGAGGGTCATCTGTGAGTTCACTTCTAACTCATGACAATGAGAGAGTGAGGGAGTAAGTGAGGGAGGGAGGGAGAGAATGAAGAGGCCTAGAACAGCAAATTTGGGAGAATTTTTATGACAGATAATACCAGTTCTTAGTTTTGTTATTTTACTTTGATTACAAAGTAACCTCATTTATCACATATAGGAGCTCACACCCTTATCCTTTATCTTAGCTTGAAACATCTGTTGGCTAAATTCTTGGAATGAACAATATAGGTACAGGAAGTAAGCAATTGTCAGCAGGTATAATTCAAGGAATGCTAGGAGGAATCTCTTGTAAAGATTGTTGTTTTTAAGTGTCTCCAGTAAGGGGCATCTTGCTATAAAGATTAAGGTCTTAGAAATGACCCATAACAGACATTCAACTAGTATTTGTTCAACATTTGGGTTCGGGTGGGGAATGAATGAGTAACTCAGTCAGGCTAAAGGCACTTCTTTTGGAGACAAAATTAGAAAAGTGCTACTTAGACTTTCTTCTTTATCTTCCCTACTTTAGCCTGGACTCTAGCCTGGACCGGTCTTACTAGTGTTTCAGCAATGATACAGAAATTGTTAGTTTAAAGAACATCAAACTGAAACTCAAAGAAGAATGTGCACTCCAGCCTCCCAGAGACAGAACTGTGAACTTCACAGACAAAAAGTACATGAAACCAGTTTCTTGAAACAATCTTCTAAGTTCCCTAAAACAAATTGCTAGTGCAACAATTCATTAATGCAATTTTCTCCATTCCAATATATTGATAAAATTTCTCTCTCATGGAAAAACCCACCTCTGTGCATCTGGGAGCTGGACGATGACTAAGAATGACAGAAGAAAAACTGGCAACTTTGAGCTGTAGTGTTGGAGAAGAGTACTGAATATCCCATGGATGGCCAAAAGAACAAATATCTTTAAGAAGGTGCAGCCAGAGTACTCCTTCGAGGCAAAGATGATGAAGCTTCATATCACATACTTTGGGCATGTTGCTGTTGTTGTTAGGTGGTCAAGTACAACCCATAGTAGCCTTATGAACAATAGATCTGAACCCTGTCCTATCCTCTGCCATCCTCACACTTCTTGACATACTAAAGCAGTCACTGTGTCAATACACCTGTCTGAGGGTCTTCTTTTCCTTTGCTGACCTTCCACCTTTCCAAGTATGATGTCCTTCTCTAAGGAATAGCCTCTCCTAGCAACATGGAGAAAGGATGAAAGTCACGCGCGCTAGTGTCGAGGACTTTTGTTCATAGGGTTGTTACGAGTCACCTATGATTCGACAGCACTTAGCAACACAAAGAGAGACCAGCTGGCCTAGTGGACCGAAAGCAATGCTACCAAGCCAAAGGTGGGTGACTCTAATCCGCGACCCTCAGTTCTGTCTTTAATTGTTTTTGGTGAAAAATTCTTCTAGGTTGTATAGCCCTGGTGTGTCCACTTGCCATACAGAGGTAACTCGTGGTTGCTATGATGCTGAACACTGTGACACTGATAATGTAAAATGCGATAATGGTTACCCATGGTGGACAGTGTTGGAGCTTCCTGATTAAAACAAGCTTGGAAACAGGAGTGGCATCCACTTCTGAAATAGCTTGTCTCTGGAAACTCTATGAACTTGGAGAAATGATGAAAGTCACACAAGTGTTCAGATCTTTTGTTCATAGGGTCACTACGAGTTGTCTACGACTTGCTGGCAGTTACCAACATCATGGAGTGGTAAGAATTTTTGTTTTCTTGATGTTGAGATGCAATCCATATTGAAGGCTGAATTATTTGATCTTCTGAAACAATTGCTTCAAGTCCTAACTCTCAGCAAGCAAGACTGTGTCAACTGCATAACACAGGTTATTGATGAGTCTTCCTCTGATCTTGATGCCACATTCTTTTTCATAGAACCCATGCTATAGGCATGTTGCTAGGAGAGGTTAGTCCTTGGAGAGGGCCATCACGCTTGGAAAGTTAGAGAGACAGTGAAGGAGAAGAAGACCCTCCACCAGGTGGGCAGACGCAGTGACTGCAGCAATGGGCTTGAGAGTGTCAGAGATTGTGAAGATGTCTCAGAATAGGACAGGGTTCAAGTCTGCTGTTCATTGGCTTGCTGTAAGTCACACTTGACAGCACGTAATAACAACAATCACAACAACCATCTAAAGGGAGCTCTAGTGCCTCAGTGGTAAGGAATGGCATTGTTAGTTCAAAGGCAGATGATCTAAACCCACTAAGTGCTTTACAGAAGAAAGACGGACAAACACCTCTTGTGTAATTTACAGCCCCTGAAAACTACTGGAGGGTCAGCTTTTGGTTAATTCTGAGTTGACAGCACAAAACAACAATAACCATCTTTAAGTCATTGGAACTTCTAAATGTAGTACTAGTCACAGGCCTCTGGGCTGCACTACAGCAGGGGTTACATTTCTAGACACTCCCATGTTAATGACACCCTGGAGTTGTACAATCTTCCACCCTCATAATTATTCAACATCTGATATTAAATTTTGTGCTTATTCAGATTTAATTTCTTAAGGATTTGGTTTGGTGGAGGGTTCTTTGTGTTGTTTTCTTTTTTTCACTCTTGATCTGTGGTGTTTTTTTGTTTGTTTGCTTGGGATTTTCCCCCCATTTGTTTTTATACTGTAGTAGGGTTTTCTAAATGGTAATCTTTATGGGAACAGATTGCCAGACCTTTCTCCTGTGGAGCTACTGAGTGTATTTGAACCATCAACCTTTAAGTTAATGGTCAAGTATTCAACCATTGTGCCACCCAGACTCTTTGATCTCAATTAATAGGCTACAACTAATAGATTGACGGGGAGCTCTGCAGGCACAATGTTAAGGAGCTGTGCTGCCAACTCAGAGGAATGCTGTTTGAATCCACCAGCTGCACTGGGGGAGAAAGATGGGTACTTCCCTCCAGTGCAATTTATTGTCTCTGATAACCTCTGGAGGGCCAGCTATGGATCAGTTTGGACTAAATAGTAAACAATAACGATAAGTTTACAAAAAATGTTACTGTATATGAAAGCACTAATTTTTTTTTTGTCCTTGTCTTTTTCTGCTTTGTGGGGCTGGAATATAGGAAGGAGAAACCCAAGAAGAGTCTAAATGCCTTGAGTCGAAGCAGAAGACGATGCCAGGTAGAATACGTTTTCTGTGACTCCTTTTCTAAACTGCTCTTGCTAACAGCATAGCTCAGAGTATCCATAATGTTTTCAGATTGCAAAGGAAAATCTGTATGTTCCAAATGATTGGAAACATGACTAGAAATGTCACATTTGATGTACTCCAGGCACGACATCTGGGGAATCTGGGCATGATGCAGAAAATAGTTGTAGCTTCTTTTTCTTTCTTTTTTTTTTTTTTTTTAAATTGACTGCAGTTCTTGAGGAACAAATACCCACAAAGTAGTAAACAATGAAAATGATGAAGGAATTTCAAGTTCAGTAGCTCTGAAGTAAATCTTGCAGACACCGATTGCTGTGTTTTGCAGTAGGATTGATTCTGAGTTATGGTGAGACCCTATTTGTGTGGTGTGAGCAAAATGACTTCAAAGGATTTTCAAGGCTGTGATTGTTTAGGAGCCAGTTATGAAGCCTGTCTTCTGAAGAGCCTCTGGATGCATTTGAACTGAATAACAGCTGCTATGGGAGCACTAAAACATTTGTGCAACCCATAGACTGCCGTGTAGAGACTTCCTGGCGTAGCTACTATCATCTCAGAAAATGTAACTTAGAGACAAGTTTCTTTATTTAGTTTTAGGTTGATGTGTAATATGTCAGACTGTTAACTGAAAGGTCAGTGGTTTGAATCCACCAGCTGCTCCCAGGGAGAAGTATGGGCAGTCTTCTCCCATAAAGATTTAGGACTTTTTAAACCAGAGGACGACTATAAGTCAGAATTGACTTGATGGCACAAGTACTGGAGTGATAGCTAAATAGAACAGCTTTACTCTAGCTTTTTACACCAAAACAGAACTTCTTATGAGGTCGTATCAAGTAGTCCTTTTTGCACAATGGTTACTCACTTAGGTGTTAACCGAAAGGTCACTAGTTTGAGACTACCAGCTACTCCATGAGGAAAAGACTTGCCTATCATCTCTCAAAGATTCCAGCCTAGGAAACTCTACGGGCCATCCGTCAGATCAGGCTTGATCTGAGTCAGAATTAACTCGGTTGCAGACACCACCAAGAATAGCAAAATACAAAAAGGAATAAGTGATGAGTGAGTCTACAACAATATGTGACTAAGATCAATAATGATAATGCAATGCAATGGTCATAAGAAGAAACACTAATGGAATGGAGCAATAATGAAAATTATTATTATCCATAGAAAAATAATGGAGCAAATAATGAAAAAGATAAATTGTCATATTCTCAGCCTCTATTTTCCAACTCCTTTTAGTTGCATGTTTTATATCATTCTATATTAGACGTGGGTTCCCTCCAGATGGGTCTGTGGCTGGCAGAAGCACATGTTATAATTTAATCTGAATTAGGAATCAGAATCAAGAACTTGGAAATGGTAATGAAAAGAGCCCCCCAGCAAAGTGAGGGGAAAGGTGGCACCCTGCTCTGCTATAGATGGAGGAAAGAGAATTAGCAATTAACCAGCTCTACCATCTTCCTCCATTCCCCTCTCTCACTCTCCTTCCCAAGTTTTTCTGAATTCAGGAAGAACAAACATTGCTCTGTTGTTGTTAGGTGCCATCAAGGACAAGTCATTCTCATAACAACTCTATGAATCTGATCTGAACCCTGCCCTATCCTGTGCCATCCTCATCATCTCTGGACACTAGAGCCCATTGCTGAAGTCACCTTGTCAATCCATCTCATTGAGGGTCTTCCTCTCCTTTGCTGACCCTCCATCTTCCCCACCATGATATCTCTTCTCAAGGAATAGCCTCACCTAGCTACATGCCCAAAGTGTGAAAGATGAAGCTTTGCCGTCTTTGCTTGGCCTATTCCTAGGGCACTACCCTGAGGCAGGCCTTGCATAGCTGTTCCTTTTCTTCAATCAATCAGTCAAATGAGTGGACTTCTAGACTCCCTCCTCATCACTCTTCAGCCCAATGTCTACTATTTATTTACTTTTTGGTTACAATTATCATTATTGATTTGCTTATTGTCTCTGAGAGAGCAAGGGCCTTGTTGCTTTGTTTTTTGGGTACACTAGGATCTGAAACTCTGATAATCCCATGTGTTAGGTGGGCACTACTTCTCACCAAGGCTTTTTTAGGACAGAGGTTGCCTCCTGTGAGTCCTTGCCATGAGAGCTCAGGCTGGGATTTCAGACCCTGCTCTCCAACAGTCTGACAGGGTTCCTAGATCATCAGATGCTCAAAAAACGTTAATGAAAAATCTCATCTCAAAACTCATTGAAGCAGACCTGACTTGTAGCTGGCTGACCTTCCAGTGGATTTTCAGCAACTGTAAATCATACAGGCAGAGACTGTACTCCACCCCACCCCCTGAGAGTCTGCTGGTGGATTTGAAGTGCTAGAGAAGCCCCACAGTTGAGCTGGCAGCAAAACTCCCCACGGACTGACAGAGTTCCCCGCTGAATATCAGTGTAATGTTAACGGATTCTTTCAGAAAACACATTTGGACTTAGAGATCTGTAGGTTAAAAGATATCTATAATGCCGTTTTCTTCGACAGCTTGTCCACATAGTTCACATAGATTGCTTACTTGTCTTTTTTCATAGAAAAATTTTCTGGTAATAACCTTATTATCTAAGTTGAAATTTCAAGCAAGAGTTTCTCACTATTCTAAAAATATGTTTGTGTCCACTGACTTTGGAGCTTGCTGGATAGACCCTTTTTTCTATTCAAAGCTTGTAAATTTCAAAACTCCTGAATGTTTACATTGTGCCCTTAGTGTACTAATGTCTCTAGGTTTCATCTATTCAGTTCAGAGTTGCTATACTTACGAGTCACCCTGTGAAATCCTCTTAAGCATTAGGCGTTCTTGCTAAATTATTTGACAAATATAAACATATTTATATCAAGAAATGTTTGTTGCATGTCTACTATAAGTTGGGATAGGAATTAGGCTAAGCTTAAAACAAACAAAAAAACCCCAACATTAGCCATAGAATCCATTCTAGTTCACAGTGATCCCGTGTATGCCAGTGTATAACTGTACTCAATAGGGTTCTGGGTGGTTTGGTTTTGAAAGCTGATCCCAGGCCTTTCTACTGAGGCATTTCTGGGTTGGACTTGAACCGTTAAGCTTTCAGGTAGCACTCGAGCATGTTAACCATTTGCCCCTCTGCACCTGGCGGAGAAATTTGAGATAAGCAATCATTAAATCAATAAAAAGTAAAATGCAAATCAAAGAGAAATCATAGCCTTTACGTCAGTAGGATGTTGACTACAGAGGAGGGTCTTATGGAAGTCTTGCCCTCACAGATCTGTCAGTTGTTGGTTGCTGGCAAGTTGGCCCCCATTTATCATCGACTGTCATGTAAATGTTACCCTGTTCCATGCCGTCTTCATGAGCCCCTGGTGGTGGTTATTGTGTCAGTCTAGCTCATGCAGGATTTCCTTTTCCTCCTTTTTCTGACCAGCTGTAATACCAGATAGGATGTCATTTTCTAGTAATTGATCTTTCTTGACGATGCTTCTAAGGAACATTCTTGTATTCTAGCACAACATTCTTCTAGTAGTCCACAGTATAGTCAACAGTCTTCAGCAACGCCACAGTTTGAATGCATCAGTTCTTCTGTCTTCTTTTTTCATGGTCCAGCTTTCATATGGTTACACAGCAACTGAAGAAGCATGGCTTGGGTCATGTGCACATAATTGTCATGGATTGAATTTTGTCATCCCGTTCACGCCCTGTAATACCTGTGTGAAATGATATAATGTGAGTTCTGTGTAAGGATCCCCAATGATCTGATGAACTAAATAATTGTAGAGTCTTCAACAGTAGAATGCAACACTTTTTAATCCCAACAGAGCCTTAAAGATGTAAGAGGAGTTCCTATAATACCGTCTCTCTAAGAGGGAGGTCTGGTGGTCTAGTGGGTAAGGAGTTGAGCTGCCAGTCTAAAGGTATGTAGTTAAAATCCATCAGCTGCTCAGAGAGAGAAAGATGAGCAGTCTTCTCCCATGTAGTTTATAGCTTCTAAAGACACACTGGAGGATCAGTTAATGAGTTGGTTCTAACTTGACAGCACATAACAACAGTGGAGGGGAGGAAATCTAGCCCAGATGGAGACCTCACAAAGATCAGGTAAGATTTGCTAGGCAGGGAGTATGTCCTTTTTTGATCAGTACTTCTACTTAAGGAAGCTCCTTCACATTGGGAAAGGCCAGGTCACATGGAGATCTCCATGGGATGTCAGACCTATAGATGCTAAAGGAGACAAGGACTTTCTCCAGGACCAACAGAGCATAAGAGAATGTGCATTGCCCTAGAGCTGGACCCTAAATTTGGATTTCTATCCTCCCTAAAAGGGAAGAAAATAAATTTCTGTTTACTAAAGGCACCCACTTGCAATATCTGTTATAGCAGCACTAGATAACTAAAGCAGTGACATCTGCAAACCATGGGTATAGAAAGCTAAGGCCAAAGGTAGAATATGCAAAAACACAGATGGGGTGAAAATGTAAGATTGGGGACATGAAAGAGGGGTCAACTCCATATGGTGGATCCATGAAGTTTTCTAAGAGCATGTGAAATATGAGTTGGGCCTGGAAGCATAGTTAGAAAATCCACTGGGGAAGAAGAGAGATACACAAGTGAAAACTAAACAATGTAAATGGAATCCAAAGTGGTACCACTTTGGAGGTGAGCCCATTTTTCTGGCTAATGACCTAAACCTGTGGTATCTCTCACCTTGTCCTGCGGTTTATAATTTATATTTTCAGGGTCCTATGACAGGATAAGGGAGTTCTGGTGACCTAGTGGTAAAGAAGCTACTCTGTAATCCTCAAGACACTCAACTTGAATCCACCAGCTGCTCAGTGGGAGAAGGATGGGCAGTCTCCTCCTGTGCAGTTTACTGCCTCTGAAAGCCTTCTTGACTATCTGACTGACTCTATAGCATACAGCACCAACCACATGAATTAGGAGCTCTGGTGGAGTACATAATCCATAAGGAGTCGTGCTGCTAGTGTAAACATGACACC